ATGCAATAAAATAGCTGTTTTCATAGTTTTTTTTTATTACAATACCTAAACTATATAAAAAGTATAAGTATGAAACCTATAACATTCCTGACATGTCCTGACACTGTGAGAATCACAAACACGTAAAAATACAGCACTCAGGTATCATTACAGATACGTTTATGATCAGACATTGTCCTGGGTGCTGAACTGACTATTCAGCTAAAACACTGATCCATTACAACGTATTACACTTCTTTCTGTACCCTTATAAAAATGGTACGTAGACTTGTTACATATCACACGAATATTTTCAGTTGCCATATATAGTCGACAATCTCTACAGAAAGTCAATTTTGTAGAAGAACTGGGCAAATGAGAAGATTAGCCGAAAGTCTTGAGGGAAGTGTCGTCGCGTGTTTGAAAATAGCATTTATTTAATTTCAATATTTAGAGATATAAGTACAAACGCAATCTGCACCTACTAATTATTAAGGACTAGTAATATACATTTGATAGCAGCTCCATTTGAGGCAATGCTAATAGATGGCTTGAAATAAATTCCATGCCACAAAAGTGCAAGTCATCATTTTTATATTTGTATTTGCTGACTTTGACATAACGTTTTAGTTTGTTCAGTGCATACAAATTAATGACAATACGAACTGAAAGGATATATCTCTAATTGTTGTGTTGTGTTTAGGTGATGTACGCCAACAAGATGGCGGGTCCGTGTACATCCGGGTTCTGGACGTGCGTGGTTCTGGTGCTGATAGTAACGATTACAACAGTCACTGGGCAAGGTAAACGTCATGTTTAAACTTTCTTTTGAATGAAAATTTGATAACTGACACAGACAGCGAAGGACAGTGGGTATTTGCAGATGGTCAAACATCCGGCTTTACCAACTGGCACCCCAATGAACCGCGAACGGCGGCCATGGCAAAAACTGTGTCGCACGTTCAACTCCGGGGTTGAACGTGCAGATTTATCTGTCAGCTAGGTACCGTATGTATCATAATCACACTCCTTAACACACCACTAATATGTGCTTGTTACTTTCACTTCCTTATTAATAAGTAAAAGAAAATGCCAACTCTCAAATGTAGCCAGTAGCCTGGTGCACTACCCGTTGAGATGTGTAAAGTATAACTCGCAAATCTCCATCAGAACATTGAGAAACGATGAGAGGTTTTGTTTTGGGGCTGCCTGTACTATGTGTCTCTGTCTTTCTATGGATATTTGTTTCTCTAACGAGTGTAAGGATAGCTGTGTAGAGAACATTCACTGTACAGACTGTAGGTTAAAATAGACTATAGATCGTATACATGCAGATTGCATGTACATTTTGTACACTGTTAACATTCACCCTGTCTGGTGACACAGATTCTTCCACAAATCCTTTCACCACAACTTACCACATTGCATTCAAATACTAGTAACCAACTTGTTCACTATGTGGAACCCAGTGTATATTCATTGTTGTAGTATTGACCCCGGAGTTGAATTTTTTTACAAGTAGTTACTGACGCATAACTTTGTAGGAACTATACCTGTATATCAAGTCATCAGCAAATGCCTCTAAAACTCTTCATTCTTTTGCAATAAAAATTGTATTCTGTGTAAGTTTTGTAAGAATTTAAAGTTGGAGATTTTCCGAGATGAAATTTATACACATGTAGTGACTGGAGCTTTAACTTAAACAGGAAGTACATGTACAGTACATGTATGTGTGTATTCTAAACGAAGGGTTGTTATCAGAGTATGAGTTAAGTTGTTTAAGGATATTATTTTTGAAATATTTTTTAGTAACCTCTGAAAGATGGATTACGTGGGTCTTTGGAGAGTAGTCTACCTAAGCTTTGGAGTTCTTATCTGGCCGATGCGCATGTTTGGTCGAACCATCTTTTTCTACTTTTTTGTTTCTTGCACTGCTGTTGTTTTTTTTTTTTTTTTTTTTTTTGCTACTAGTGCGCATGGATAAAGAGTTTCGCCCGGCCTCTTTCAGCGGTGTTATAAAGTCTTGTAACGCACTGTCTAAGGATTCTGGCGTCGACTAGTAGTTTTTATGCATAAATTGGTTGATCGTTTAAGGGCAGACACCACATTTGCGTTGCGCAGTAGAGGCTTCAAAATGGGAACACGATTGTAGTGCCTAGTTAATATGGTAGTAACCTTTGAAAATCCTTTTTTTCTCTTGAAAGTTTTGGTCAATTTTGGAAATTTTTGAGATGGAAGGCACAGGTAGGGTCTAAACGTTCCTACTTTGGTCAAGTTTTGTTTATTTTACCAGTTTAGTGGGCGTAATGAGAGATGTGAGTGGCTAGGTCTAGGTTTTGTTACTATCATCAGCTGTAGCAGGAATTTGAACTGGTCGACCCCGTTTCCTTTCTATATTCGGGAAACAGACCCCTGTGGCTACCTGGTGCAGAAGATTTTTTGAGATTGAAGTATGGGCAAGTACTTTCTGTTAGGGTTCCAGATGTAGCTTTTCCTTGACTAGATCTCTTACGTTTTGCTTCCAGATTTAGCTTTTCCTTGACTAGATCGCTCACGTCTTGCTCACATTGTTCCCATGTTTCATCCTTGATGCCATCGATCCGTGATGCTGTCAATCAATATGTTGTTTCTCCTAGATTTTATTTTTGCTTCAACATTATTCATTCTCCCTCACTTTTTAATTTTTATCACTATGGTAGACTGCATTATAATGTCCCCGGCAATTACCTTCCTACTATTGTCATTTTTTAGTTTTTCCATTATCATCTATCCATTTAGTATGGTTTGCTACAAAGTAATTGAATTCCTCTTAGTTTATTTGGGCATATCTCTATCTAGTAAAAGAATATATAAACTAAAAACAAAAATTGTGTTACACCTGGAACTTGTGTATGGTACTCCGCTTTAGTTTACATGTCACTGTATGTTTTGTTTTTTTACAATCTGCAAAAAAAATCCATGAGTTGGAGGACTGCAGAACATTGTCGTATGTGTGGTTGTAATGCTCAATCCACAATGTATACTATATATAAAGTATATATGAATGTACATTACTTTCTCGGTTCCTGTTATTAAGATGCATTTTGAATATCCAAAACACAATTCTCAAAGCATACTTTAACTATTTCGACTTGCAGGTTGCCCAATTGATCCGGAGATAGGCCTGGGATCGGGAGACAACCCTTGTCCAGCAAACAGCACGTACACAACTGGCACAACCTGCTGCCCTGCGACCTGCCAGGATCAATCCGCCCCGCTAACATGTACTACTGGCGTTACGGACGGCTGCCAGTGTGATAGTGGCCTCATCTGGAGTAAGAAAAACTGTGTTGAACCAAGCCTATGTGGATGTTTAGATCCTAACACCGATACTTATTATGAGGTCAGTTCATTGTATTGTTGTAGTGACATTCTTGTGTGCTACGTTAGTCCGCCATCTATAACATTTTGAACTGCTTCATTATATTTCTCAGGGGGGGGGGTGCAAGGTCTGAATCGATTATCAATCCCTTTGACAAACACTCACGAAAAAAAACCCTGACTCGTTCAACCATATCCTGGTTTTGAAAGAGGCTCTTGATACTTGAGTGTGAGTAACATAACCAATACTTGCGAGGCAAAACTACAAAACACAAGTATAATTGAATAAGAAATTGAAGTCTTTTACTCTGGAAGAATGTCAATTACTTCCGAAGGAATATTAAACTCAGCGTCCGTACGTTCACAGCTGTAACTCTCGATCGGCTTTGGTATGTAGTTTCGCCTGTCATCTACTAGTATTCGCAAGACGATGCACCTTTTTGAGATTGAGAAATGAATTTGACAATTAGGTACAAATCATGTGGCTCAGACGCTAATTGTATAATTAGGAGGAGCATTTGTAAATTCATCGCATTCCATGATCAATGATAGGACCCTCAAACATGTGACGTCGACATAATATATAACTGAGATAATGGAGCATTGATAGATATTAATATTGAAATGAAGATCCAACTTGTATAATTGGTAATACAACACTACATTTCTATAATTTCTTTGGGCATTTGGAAGTTGAGTTTTAAGTTGAAAAGTTGAACATTATTACATATAAACCATGCAAATCATGGGGTTATTACATGGTTATGAGGAAATGCTACAATAGTCTCCTTTCCTAAGATAAGACTTTCATACCTTGAACAATTTCCTTTTGGCTGGGCCTGTGTCTTATATATGTGAATATTCGCACCTATAAATCAAGATCGTTTTGATGCATTCTTATGAAATTTGCCATGTCGGTAGTGAAATAGGGCGTACCAAACACTTTAGCCAACGTCGCAAACATAATTTTTTCACGGAGGATTGTACCCTTCGTAATAAGGACTCTTGTTTTGTATACAATTTAGCTTGGAGAACAATGGACAACACCAGACACTCAAGCATGCGAATGCACTTTGGGAGGGATCATCACTTGTGAACCAGTGAACTGTAATGAAGATGGAGGTTACACCTGGACGCTCGTGGATGGAGTATGGGGATGCCACTGCACAAGTTCCTGTTGTGGTGAGGCATAGTTTTACTACTTTGTAGTTGTTTTCGTGTAGGTACATTTTGAATTTCTGTGACATCTGTACCATGGTATCTTATGCTATAGATACCGCTGTAAAAGATATATTTCACTGCCGAATTTCCAAAGTTTTTTCTTAATGTTTTGCTGCATAAAGGTTGCTACTACTGTTACTTCTTCATATTCCACATTTTTGAATCCATGTTTGTGCCTGCTGATGATGATGTCCTTCTTACGAAGCATTCTTTGATACACCTGACAGATAGGGCAATCTGCAAAGCATCTGGAGATCCACACATCTGTACTCCTGACGACGAGCGTCTCGATTACCAAGGGTGTGGCTTATACACGTTTGCCAAGGACTGCGTAGGAAATAACTTCACCATCGAAACGCAACACGTTCCCACAAACGATTCTTCCACAGTTTCTGCTGTACGTGCAGTCTACGTGACAGCAACCATTAATGGGAATACAGATACAATCTGTCTTCTTCAAGGCAGATATGTGCAGGTTTGTGATGGCAATTTGTTGAAAATATTTTTAAAACACCTTGTTTGGTTCAAGTGAATAGCTTGAGGTATCAGACTTGTGCTTCGCTTGTTGAATAACCCTGGCTGAACCAGTAAATAAATATATTAAGTTAGGCCGATTCCTGGTCGTCACACTTAAACTGTGTGGCAAATGCATCACTGCTAATGTTCTGGCAACGTAGGATACGCTAACTAAGGTGCTTGTCTAAGTTCGTTATTCGTTAGTCAGCTATTCTGTGCTATTTTCTCTGTCTCTGAATAATGGGCCGCATTTATTTTCCTTAAACAAGGTGAACGGAGTGAATACCACACTTCCTCACAGCCGAGAAAGTGGCAAGATTGAGATCAGTCTGACCGGAATGTTTGTCTGCGTGGAGTTGGTGGAATTGTGCGTGGCGATCTACTACGATGGGGTACATTATGTTAAGGTAAGCTTGCACATATTTTTAGCCATGTATTAAGTATATTTCCCCACTTCAGATATTTGACTAGTAAAGAGAAATTTGTATTCCTTTTAACTTTTGATAAACCTACTCTAAGTAATCTCACAGCCGCATATATCCATACAATCACTACTAAGGGAGATGAAGCCGAAAAGAATAGAAACAAGAGTTCCACGATCTCATACCTTCGCCAAATGATGTTAACCCTTGCGGTTGACGAATTATACAATTTTAATAATTGATTTCGCAAATAAGAGCGTCATTTGCATGGATTACATCAGTTGATCATATAATCCACCCAATGACAGCCTTATCTTAACAAAATAGGCTATTCTAGCACTTCCACATAAATTATGCAAATGAGGTCATAATGTGAATAAATTATCTTCATTCACTAGACGAAAACCGACGTATCCGGGTCGTATACTCCCGTACACACGCCCGGAAATTCCAAATATACGGACATTTCCAGGTGTGCGCGACCCGTACACTTGGCGTGTGCGGGCCTGCACACGGCCCGGATATGAACCACTCAGGTGTCCGGGCCGTGTACAGGCCTGCACACGTCTGCACACGCCACCCGTAAATCTCTGCACACACCTGGATACGTGACACGTACCTCTGAGTGTGTGTATGAAATATGCATAAATTAGCGGTAATTTTCACCTAATTATCTTCCTCATTATCAGCTCGTGTACGGGTCGTACACACCCGCACACGCCCCCCCCCCCTCCAATATGCCTTTTGTAATGTAAAGTAGCATCATAGCCGTTTATCCCCCCTTCTTGTTTGCATAATTTTGTTTTCTTTATTAATTGTACATGGTGCTTGGGCTTTGTGACTTTTTGTTTGTGTTTTGTGTGCCTCCAATATTTCCAGTGTACTTCGGCCGGTCTTTCAGCTCAGCTGAAACAAACTGTACATCTCGTTCTTCTGTGTCTTGCCTTGACGCAGCTAGTCACGGGAGCAGATATTAGTCTCGTCTGGGCACCAGTCGTTAGAAGCCGTCCCAAGCTCTTTATTCCGCGCTGTGCAACAAGCCTCGCTGAGGCGGTGACCCACGGGCCGAACATCTTGTGCCACAGCACGGCCTTGAGTCGGGACACAGCGTATAGTCCGGAGGGGTGTACATCGGTCCTCTGGTCCGGTCTAATACTCTCTTGCACGCGGACTATCACTCGCCTATGCCCGCAGCCTGGTTCCCAGGATCCTGGCTACCGGCTTTCCAAAGAACGAGGCATACTCTGACGTTCACAATCTTCCCAATCAACCTCAGCCTGGAGAGTAGTCTTGTCCCAGTTCGTCTTGCCAGTGTCCCACGGCGTTCTTGTCTTGAAAACTGCTCCAATTTACGTAGAAAGGCGCAATACCGATATTCCTGTGTTGATGATTGAGATATGACACAATCTCTCACCATG